ATTCTGGGAGTTGAAGTCCACTCATCTTAAAGTGGCCAAGTTTGGACAACACTGATATAAACAGTTAAAAGACAAGATGCAGTGTTTCTTTCACCTATATACCCTTTGCTCAAAAAAAAACACAAATATCTCCTTGGAAACTCAGCCTTCTACATTTCCTTCTAGTTCATCATTAATTATTTGACTATTATGACCATCCTTGACAACCGCTAGTAAAAGCATGTTGAGAAAAATAACATGCAACTGTTTTAAAAAGTTGAAGACAAATTCTTAATGCCGCAGTCAACAAATGGAGCCTCCCTCAAGCAAAACAGCAGAAATGAAGAATAACGTGGCTTCTGGAACAGTGAAATTTCTTTAAAGAGAAAAAAAGAAAGGAAACAGATCTTCCTAATGAAGCTGAATGCCATAACAAAATAATTAAGCTTTAGCAGTGGGCAAGATGGGCCAGACCAGGAAGGAAGATTTGCAAAGCTCATCCTATTTATGTATTACATTTAGAACCTAACTGCCATCTAATGAACTCAAGGTGATGGAAAGATGTGTGTCTTCCACCCATATTCTCTTTTCATTCCACCCATCTATAGTAGGTTGGATGAAATACAAGGATCAGCCCAAGATCACCCCCTGAACTTCATTTCATGGCTTGAGCAGAGGTTGAATCTGGATCTACTCAAACACTTTAGCCCAGAGTAAAATAACTTTTTCAAGGGGCAGAAACCACTGCATTATCTTATGTGGAATCATGGACGCCAGTTTTAAATGTTACACAGATATTACTTTAACCATTCCATAACACTGTCTCTTGGACCTTAAGGCTCAAAGGGTCAGAAGTGGTCCTCAAGATAACTCTTCGCATATGGCTGAACAAGCTTGGGTTTACGGCAGTGTTTCTCAACTGTGGCAACGTTCAGATGTGTGGACAACTCCCAGAACTCCCTAGCCAGCTCCCAGAATCCCCCATGCTGGTTGGGGGATTCTGGGACTTGAAGTCCATACATCTTAAAGTCGCCAAGGTTGAGAAACACTGGTTTACAGGAACAGGATCAATGCCCAGAAATGTGTTATTTTTAGCCAATACTTTCATAAACTGTAGGCTTTCCTCCATGCCCTCCTTCCTTTGACTATTTCTTCAAACTCATTTCTTCACCTCTCTTTCATGTTCAAGAAGTTTCTTTTCCAACTTTTCCACCTGTTCAACCAACAATCTCCACCTTCCCATTTCACGAGTTCATGTACTCCACAGATCTGCCAACAACAACTATTCATATTCTGAATAATGAGGACCAAACCCAAAACATATAAAAACAAGTTAGGATACACAAACCAGAAACAGAGCTCACCCTGCCAACTCGGAAAAGTACACCCAAGCAAGTTACTAGATCCTGCACCCTTCTTAAGACCTGCGGCTGATGAAAAAAGTCCATTAGATACGTTCAACAGTTCCCCGTTTCAGAAATTCCAAACTTGGGAAAATAATTCATTCTTAGCATCTGGTACCCTTGGGCAAATGCTTGGACCCACAACCAGTGCCTACTCTTCTCATTGCACCAACTGTCCTGCCCCACCAAGAAATGCCAACTCCCTGCCAACTCCCCCTTAAAAACCATCTTCAACATCCACAATGTAAAGTCATCCGAGATTACAAGCAATCTCAACGACTGATTTTCCTTGGCTGAAACCAACTGCATGCCATAAAAATGGAGATTTATCTTTTTTTTAAAAAAAAAAAAACCCACTCCATATTTCATACCTAAGTGGGAGGCACTTGAGATTAAACCAATTTTAAAAGTCACATCACAGATCTCCTGTTGCACACCTCAGGCTGCAGCACAGAAGTCATCCTTTCAATAGGCTTGAAATGTGTGCCAGGCCCTGTGGAAGTGTGTGTGTGTCCGGGGGGGGGGGGGGGGGGGGGG